TATAAATGGTAAATGGACTGTACTTATATAGCACCTTTCTATCTGATCAAGGTACTCAAAGCTCTTTACAACACAATCTGTGCCCTCATTTGCACATTCACACAGCACTCTACTAGATCTCTACATATACATATACACATACAAAGTATATATACATATATATATATATATATGTGTATATATAAATATTCATACACACACACACACACATAAATATATTGTTCTAGAATTGCGCCGCTCAAGGTGGCTGCATGTTGGAGCAGCTCTGTTCCGTTCATTCTGAGATTTTGCTTTGGGAAACTTTAATTCCTCTTTATCTGGATGTAAGTCACATTTTTTGGATGATTGTTTCCTCTGGTATCAGATGCTGTGCAGCTGGAAGGATTTTTACAGAATTTTTTTTAGTTTTGGACATTTGTTATGATGTGTAACCACGGCAACAAGGCAGTTTTCTACAACCAACAGCAGCTGATTAACATCTCAAAAGCTCAAATAATATCTCAACTATAGCTCCAAATCTCAAATGAGTTGAAAGGATGTTCTGTGGATGCATTCACATCTACCTGCCAGCTGTGCCTTACCACTGAGATCCTGGAACTAGCAGGAAACACAGCTCATGACAGCAGAAGGACAGGATCTTCCCTCGGCGCCTACAGTTGGCTGTCCGCAGCGATGAGGAGCTCGGCAGACTTCTGGGAGGAGTGGCCAGCGCTCTGGGAGGAGTTCTGCCCTGTTTTTGGGCGTCTTACAGCCCTGGGGAACAGAGAGGCCAGCCGAGTCTGGGTGGACGGATCGGACAGCATCTGCAGCCAGTTTCTTAGGATCCACTGTGGAATGAACCTTTACAAGAGATCTTTCCTGCTTACAGCCATCAGTATCTATAACATCTCTTAATGAAATGAAGATAACGAGTTACAACAACAAATAATTTCCCTTTGGGATTAATAAAGTATTTTTGAATTTAATTGAACCACCAAACAACTTTTTAGCTGATTTTACTTGTTACAGTCTTTTATGTGTTGGCTGTCAGGCTGCGAAGGCCATATTGGATTGGGTTGACTCAAAAAGTTAATCAGTTATAGATTTACATTCACTTATTACTTTTTGAAAGTTTTGTTAAAATCTGTTTAGTAGTTTATAAGACATTTACTTAAAGATACAAACACACACAAACAAACACATGTAAAAACTTTTTCTGGCAGTAAAAAAGTAGGAAACCACTGATTTAAATTCTAACTCTCAGGATCATCAAGTCTATATAAAGTTAGTTACGAGTAGACTTACTGTTGTGAAGGAAGTCATATGTATGTGTATTTGCAGATGTTGGGTGTGCAGGGAGCCTGTCAGACCTGTCCAGGAGAGAATGCTCGTCAACTGGCCCGGATCGTGTGTGCCACAGTTCTGGCTGGAGAGCTGTCCCTGATGAGCGCACTGGCTGCTGGACACTTAGTCAAGAGTCACATGACACACAACAGGTAAATAAAAGTAGCGCAACACATGACACACCTAATTGTGATCAGATGATGACCTAAAACATCATCAGATTTTCACACGTCCTCAAAGTAGATGAAGAGAACCCATTTAAACAAATGTGACAAAAATATTATACTCAGTCATTTATTCATTGAGGAAACTTATCCAGTATTACATATTTAACCAAAACCGGACCAAGGCTACTTCCAGCCTCAGCGATTAATATGAACTCTGCTTGCTGGCGCAGGAAGCCTCTCGGGCAGGGTGGCGCTGTTTGACGTATCGGTGTCTTCGTCATAGTTTATCTGGACTTTCACCTGTACTCCCCTGGATTAAGTGGATTTGAATGAGATCATTGGTTGTTGGAACAGGATCAGCTGGTTATCCAAAGAACCTGTTCCGGCTTATGATGTCGACCCACGTCTGTTCTCTTCACTAAGCTCGGTTCAGATAGTGCTGCAGCTTCTACCAGCGCCACTTCAACTGCAGCCAGACCATCATGCTGGGCCCCCTGCGCCACTCAAACCGGGAGGTTGTCTGGCCTGAAGTCCTTCATCTCTATTCACGTGTGGGGTTTAGAGCTCTGTGGACCTGAAGTTTCTCCATCTTCATCATTTTCAGTATTTTGACTATTTGGAGTCATTGAATCTTGTTAATGCATCTGGATTAACCATCCTTGCAAACTTAATTGCTTTTGGGTTCTAAGTAACCGTGTAATAAATTCATCTCACCATGGAATGATAAGGAGCCAAGCTCCACATTATCAACTCTAGTAACAATACCTCTGCAACAAAAAACACAAGGAAATGTTTAATCGTGATGCTCTTCCTGTTGTCTGGGATACAGCCTAAACCCGTAACTCACACTCCATGCAGCACTCCAAAAGACTTTAAAAACATGTCAGGACTATCCTGATGCATGCTCAATAGTCCAGGTAAAAAAAGCATCTAAAAAAAGCCAAGTCAGGTCCTCTGGTTGGATTAAAAAAATAAAAATAAATTAATAAAAAAATTATAATAATTTTTATTTTTTAATCCATCCAAAGGACCTAACTTATTTTGTTTTTAGATATCAGGACTACATTTTATGTATATAAATGCATGTAGCCTCCTTCATAAAATTGATATGCTGAGGATTTGTGTTTGTTCAAATGATGCCGATATAACTGTTATTTCTGAAACTTGGTTATCTAAATCAATTTTGAATAATCGTGTCAATTTACAGATTTAATATTTATCATTCTGATCATCAAAGAAAGGGAGGTGATGTTGCAATTTATATCAAATCCATCCTGGATTCACAACTGGTGTCTGCTAAAACAACCTCTAATCAATTTGAAATCTTGGCACTAGACATTAATTTGCATGGTGGCCAATCATTAACTGTTGTGAGATGTTAATGAACCCCGTCCGTAACATGAGACCCTATTGTCATTAACAGAGTTTCTAACAAATTTACATTTTAATGAGATTGTCCTAGTAGGTGATTTTAATCTAGACTCTCTGTCTCTAGTGTCTGAATAATGTAAAAAAATGTTTGTCATTCAATCTCAGTCAAATTAATGACAACCCCACTCACCCAAATACTAAATGTCTAGGAAGACTGTCTATTTTAGATCTCTTTATATCAAATATGCCTCATAAATTTTCTGATTTGGGTGTTTTTGCAGATGATATGAGTGAACGAGTGATCACTGTGTTGTTGGTGCCATTAGGGATACTAAATTGCCTCGTTCCAAACTTAGATTAATTATAAAAAGGAACATGAAACATTTTAGTGAACAGGCCTTCCTTTGGGACCTGTTCCATTTTGATTGGCATCGTACTTTACTAATTGAAGATGTGAACCTTGCTTAGAACTATTTTCACAGTAGTTTCATTCACTTTGTAAATAAACATGCCCCTTTTCGCCAGTTCAAAATAAAAGGCTGAGACAGCCCCTGGTTTACTCCTGAGTTAGCTGATTTTTCCTGCACAGGAGAGATCAGCTTTGGGCAACTGCAAGACAGTGTGGTTCAGACACTGATTGGTTGCAGTTTCATCAACCACAGAATCATTGTACAGCTTCCATTAAAGCTGCCAACCTAATTACTTTTTTATATCAGTCATCAAAAGATCTAAATGACCCTAACATATTCTGGAAAACTATCAAATCATTTTCTGGCAGCTCCCATTCATCTGACCTGCCACCACAATAACTTGATAACTCTGTTCCTGTGTCAAATAAGCATGAAATTCTAATTTGTTTCAACAGACATTTTGTTGCCTCTAGCTCTTTGTTTGCCACAGTTACTAATGGAAAACCAGCCACTTCTCCTTCAATCCAAACTTCTACAAATCAAATTTCTTCTACAAGTCAATTCTTAGTAAACCATACCTTCCCATTTTCACTGTTCTCTCTTAATGAGGTTAATAAACTGTTAAAAGGTTTGGACTCTAGAAAATATGCAAGCCCTGATGACCTTCCTCGTTATTTCTTAAGGTTAGCTGCACAAATCATAGAAGAACTAGTGTCTCACATCTTTAATCTGTCCATAAGCCAAAATACCGTTCCAAATGCTTGGAAAACAGCTTTTGCTCTACCTTTACAGAAGGCAGGAGACCCCACTATACTGAACAACGATCAACCAACCTCTAAACTCTGTATTCTTGCTAAGACTTTAGGAAAAATTGATTAATACTCAAGTCAATAAGGATTTGGATTCTTTTAACATCTTATCTTCCCATCAATCTGGTTTCAGGAAACAGCACAGCACAATGACTGCTTAGTTGAAGGTTTTTAATGATGTTGTTGAAGCATTGAATGCAAATAACTATTTTACTGCATGCTATTTAGATCTGTCTAAAGGTTTTGATACCGTAGATCATGGCATCTTATGCCATAAACTTTCAGAAATTGGTTTCTCAGATCACACTGTTGGTTGGTTCTCTAATTGCCTCTCGGATCGGAGGCAATGTGTTCAACATAATGGTACTTCTTCCAGTTATTTAAATGTCAACAATGGTGGCTCAGTTTTAGGACCCACCCTTTTTACAATCTATTTCAGTTGAATTCAGATGATTTATACAGCAACCCTAATTATAGGATTTATCATAAAGGAATGTCTTGAGATCAGTCTTAAAACTGGACAATGTGTCAGCCTCACGGACAGAAACTGGAAGTTGGTTCCACAAGAGAGGAGCCTGATAACTGAAAGATCTTCCTCCTATTCTGGTTTTGGAAACTCTAGGAACCACAAGTAAATTTGCCACCTGAGAGTGAAGTGCTCTGTTAGGAAAATATGGAACAATAAGATGTTTTAATATAAGATGGAGCTAGGTTGTTGAGAGCTTTGAGTCAGTCAGTCAGAGATTTAAAAAAAAAAAGTATTCGTTTACATCACATGCGTATGTACTGGAATGAAATTATGTATACAGGGTCCCAGTTGCATCAAACAATAGCAAATATATAAAGTGTAAAAAGAAACGGTAAATAAGGATCTAAGATATAAACTAAATTTCTAAACTAAACAAACACCAAACGGTACACTAAAAAGATCCAAGATATATGACAGTCACTAATAGTGCAAAACAATACACCGAACAACAGCAGCACGATTCTCATATGTTTTGTTCGGCTATAATTTACACGCTTAATGCGAGCACTAACATAAACTAAACTAACATAAACTAGAATTTATTCAAAGCATGCAACAAAAATATAGAAACAAGACGTTGTTGAGGAAAACAAGGAGCCATCTCCTCTGTCCTCCCCGGTAGGGCTGGGCCATATCATATCGTTCACGATAATACCGGTTTAAAAAAAAAAAAGCTTACCCGGGAAAATAAATGATATCATGATATGCTAATTTCATGACGTAAGTACGTCAGTGTTTGCCCCACCCCGTTAACAAAACCGAGCATGCCGAACTACTGAACCGAACTGTGCACTCCCCCATCCACCTGTCGGCACTGGCGTAACGCTAATTAGCTGCGCACAATACTAGCTAAAATCCTACAAATAAACAACGCTTGGCTGGGCTGTGTTTCTCCATCCAACTCTAAACTGTGGGTACAGACAGTGACAGCTCCACTGTCTCTCCCTCTCTACCCTACACAAGCGGCTTTTTTCTCTCCCCCCACCCCGCTCTGGACTGCTGGTGCAAGCGCCGCTCTCGGCTGGGTCCCCCCCGCTCTAAACTGCCGGTACAAACACTCGCAGGTCTGTCTCTTAGTTCCACAGTCCATGGACCAAGAACAGAGTCAGGTGATCAAAGACAGAGCATCAGAGAAATGAATCATTCCTGCAGGAACAGAGGAAGCTGAAACACCACAATCTTCAGGGTCAACTGATTACCTTGTTACAAGTTCTGGAAGTTATAGCTCATTTAAAGGCAACATATATTTTGTTGTATGTTACATTTATGCTCAACAGATCTTAAGCTTCATTTTATTTAGTTATTTTGGGAAACTTCACCTGCACTTTAGTTTTTGTGGTAGATTTAGTTAATCTGTATTTTGTGCAGACTTTTCTCAATCTAAATAACAGAAGGATAATTTTTATTTTTTTATTTTTATACTTTGAGACTGAATACTTTATTAAATAAAGGAATTTCAGTAAAATTAACCCTTGTTGTTTTTAGTTTTTATTTAATACTGCAAAGCAACATGTTAAGTTAATTTTGTCAAATGAATAACTGTAATTTCTGTTTTTATTTTTATTTTTTATTTAGTAATATCACAAAATTTATTGTTATTGTCAGAATGCTCTGAAATATCACAATATTATATTTGAGCCATATCACCCACCCCTACTCCCTGGGTTGTTGCACAATAAGAACACACACTTATGTCAGAATTAACAACATCTTTATTTTCACAGACTTTAAAATTCTTAAACTTCTTAACAAACAGACAACAGTTAGTGATGATCCACAACTTTTCCTCCTCCACCATAATAATAATAATAATAATAATGTCATCACAATGTCAGCACTGTATGTTTCCATACAATGGCGAAATTA